GCCCAGTAAGGCACCACCGGTCTCAGCAAGAACTCATGCTGAAGCAATTTGGTAACACTATCCTCTTGCTAGGGAATAGAGTTTGTTGCATGGGAATGTCATAATGTCGTCTCTCCGTTTGTTTGTGTTAAAATAAGCTATAACTCTCAAAGCCACCTCTGGAAAACTACTAACAGGCAGAATATGAGAGGTAGTTACAAGGCAGCAAAAAGCCAGTTCTGCGTTTTACAGGAATGCAGGTCATAAAGACACACACACACATACGAGTTACAGGGAAAAGAGGATTCTTCTCTCTTCTCTACCCTACCCATCCATGAACAATAAGCTATCCAAAAAGCACCTCCTTTAAAAGCAACTCTGTCCTGAAAGGAGTAGTTATGTAGCTCTGAGAATCTAAGAATTTAAGTAAGACAAAGCTGTGGAGACTAGGAATATCTTTTTATAGACCCTGAGAAGGGACTGGAAAAAAACAGACCAGCTTTCAAGCACACAAACTCTCCTTTGGGTCTCTTCTCTACAAGCCAGAGCTCTGTTCTGAAAGTATCTCAGATGCAGCATATGAAGTTCAATAGATGTCATTTGGAAATAACCATTTCTACATTTCCCCACAGACACAACTCTCAGTGTTATCAGAAATAGTACACTATTTCCCTTCACAATAGCTGAGTGGGAATATAATATCTTAGCTCTGGTATATGGTTTGTGCTGAATTCTGATGGCTGAAAGATCTCATCGCTTCTAAATACAAGCTACTTTTCTAAAAGGTGCTTCATTCAAACTTCTTGCCTTCCCCCAGCCCCTAATTTGTACCCATTAGAGAGGATTTCTGGCTTGTCTTTCCATTGCACAGTGTGTGCATGAGGATGGCAAAGGGTAGATATTTATATCTTCTTAGTGGTAGTCACTATTTTTCAAAGCTGTCTCCTTAAGGCACTCAGTTAAAGCAGTGGCTTGTAAAGTGGTGGAGTAAAGGAGTGCACGGTACACTACTATAAAAAAAACACAAACTTTTTTAAAGTTGAAGCGTGGTCGTCCGTGGTATGAATTAACCAGGGCAAGCAGAAATGACCAACCTCAATTTAAAAAAAAAAAAAAAAAAAAAAAGGAATTTCCAGAACTTTTAAGTGTAAAAATAGTATCAATTGTATGGTCTCCATCCAGCAGTTGTGGTTAGATAAGTATTTGGCATCAAACTCCCTCCTGCAATATTAAAGCCTGGGTAAGGACTCACAATAAACCAGCCTTTACGCAGACTCTAAGGCTGGTCAGGATGGTCCTCTCTCTAAACCCAGCAACTCTACCTTTAGCCCAGAGCAAAGCGAAGTTTAACCATCTGCTCTGTTTGCTGAAGGCTCTCAAGGTGCGTGCTCACAGATGCTGGTTAAATCATGGTTAAAGCTCACACATACAGGCCATCTGTGACCATCTACCAGTTACAAACCTGCTGCACGCTGCAGCCATTCAAACGTTACATCAAAATCAAGACCATTAGACAATTCATGCTTCAAAATGAGAATTTTTCATTGCTTTGGCTGCAAATATTATTATCACTAACCATCACTGACTGTGATATATGGCTTTAGCCCAACGTGCATTTTACCTCAAATATATTAAATTTATCTCAAATGTATTGCATGTTATGAAAATAACCAAAGTTTTGACTTTAAAAACCACGGACTAATACTTCACTAGAAACAATTTTAATAAGCTACTGACACGCATAACTGTGGAACATCTAAAGAGAAGAATGAAAATTGAAAATAGGGGTTAATACCTAGGTATCTTAATGTACGATAGGGAAGTAGTAAAGTTTAATTACATATAAAACACATACACACTACTGTTTATAGACATATTTAAGTTTGTTTTAAGCTTTTTAGCAAAAATAAACTCCACACTATCAAAAACTTTAACAGCAGCTTGTTCTAAATGTGAAGAGTCTCTTCACCCCTGCTGACAGATCAGGGCAAGTATTCTGTGACTGTCTACTTTTGCTTCCAATTGCTTCACCCTATACTTCAGTATCTCTGAGATCATTCCTTTCTCCTTAACATTTAGCATCCCTTTATCTCTTCTGTCCCTCTAAGTTGGATGCTAAAATCCAATATACATAGAAGCTCTCAAAGCTCCATAGGAGTGGACAAGTATCTACATTTTACAGATGGGTGGTTTTGTCCCAAATGGCAATTCAGGCAATGGATTTAAAAAAGAACCTGGAAGTTCCATTTCCAATGCAATATTTAAATTCAGCTATAGTGATATATGGCTTATAGCTCTCATTAGAACGGCATTAGAACGGAAATATTCCTTTTAGAAAGGATCTGGTGCATATAAGGCAGGGTAACTCTGCTTAATAGGAAGTCAAAACGGAAGGGAAAAAAAAAAAAGCTGAAAACTTACATTACAGGATGCAACAACTGAAATATGCACACCCCCCTCAGGCCCAGAGCCAGAGTGGCTGCCAAACCTTAGCGTAAGAAACTCCACCCTCTTCTGCAGGACTAGCTTAGTAATTCCTGACAATTACAGGGACTAGTAACTCAGATTAAGACGGCAGGAATATAAGAAATAATTGACAAATTGTTCGTGTATCTTGGCCACTGAACCTCACTAACTCAGGCTGACATTTATAGTCCCTTCTAAATGGTGCCCTGAGCACTGAACAGCTTGCTTGGCTGCTTTTCGGAAACTTACCAAACAGCTTGGGGATTTGAGAAGTTCCCACAATTTAATACTAATGAGGCAACAAATGCTTTATAATCCTAAGTATTTCATTAAAAAGCAATTTGGGAAACCTGCAAAAATGACTCTTTATGCCTTCTGTTTCCCCTTATTCCCCCTCACCTCTAGGAAAAAGCAGAGTTAATTCCTGCTCCCTCACTGAGACACTTCCATATTTATCTACAACAGGAAGGGTGGCACTTCCTGCGCACCCTGGGATTCGAGCAAAGGTTGGATGGAAATGCCCGCAAGCCCTCACGCAGGGCATTTCACTCTATATATGTGGTTTTTAAGCTATCATGCAATATAGCCCACAGTTACTTACCTTACACAGTTACTATTCTATCTAGGCAGAAATACTTTGCAACAGCACTGAACCCAATTATTCTAGCAAAAGAAGAGAGGTCTTTTGAAAAGAAAACATACAGTTATTATTACCCATAAAGAGGGAGCCAGTATTTGTTCCTACACAGAGGTTCAATCTAGCCAGGTGTGTGCTGGCCCCAGCTGATCGCAGCACCTCTATACACATTGACTCCAAGCATGTGAATAGTTCCAGGGGAGCCACAAGGATGTCCCGTGTACCTGCACCGCAGCCTGGAGATGCTAAGTGCTCTAGAAATGAAAGCTCCTTGTTTCATTTCCCTCAAAGTTCACAGCCTGAGTCTGGGACTGGAGACAACAGTAGGAAACACACACGTAGGGCAGGCCAAGTAGACGGTCTCTGTGTTGGAATGAACTGTGGCTTACCCTCTGCCAACCACGTTGTGAGCATCACAGCAAAGGACACCTTGAAGTGGCCTTGCCAGCGTTTGCAGTGAAGGTGAGGACAGTCTGGGAGAAATCACAGAAGTACTTGTTTGGGGTGGGGAAGAAGGGGAGGTTGGAAATTGAGAAGGACAAAGGTAGAAGACATCCTCTCAGCAACAAGGGGAGAAGAGAAACAGCATTGGGTAAGCCATGAGGGGCCTGGAAAGCAAAGAGGAACTGCCTGAATTTGATGTGGAGAAAGGAAAGCAAAGTGGAGCACTGGGGAGAAAGGCTAATAAGGTATGATGGCAAATGGCCCTGCAACAACATTCTGAATGAGCAGGGCAGATCCAGGAAGGGAGAGGTTGAGGGAGGGCTTCCATGAAGCTGAAGAGATTAAAAGAATGGTACTACAAGAGGCAAAAATTAAGGACACCAGGGACAGAAACACAGAAAGGTTCAGGGGAAGGGCAACCGAGGCAAATGCAGAGCTTAGAGAAGAGCAGGCTAAAATTAAGAAGGCAGCTACATCTGTACGTGGGAGAGGAGGAAGGCAGGCGAGACAAGACAGAAGGATGTTCATTTTGTATATGATCATTCCTCCTCTCTTGGCACAATGGGATCCTGAACAGAGAGAAGTAGAAGCAGACGAGGGGAGGGTTTGAGGAATGTCTCTACAGACAGCAAGATGCAAGTGGATATAGGTGCAGTGCTCAACTGAGGGTGATGGTGAGTGCTAGAGGGCAGGAATATGGCAGAACTGAAGGAGGAGAGAACAAATCTGCAGTAGAGGAAGCATGCTTGGTCATGAGATTTCCTCCAGAGGCTCTCTATGGAGGAAGAGTAGGAGTAAAGGAAGCAGAGGCTGGGAGTGGGAAATGGAGCCTTTGAGAGGAAAGGAGTAGGCGGGAGGAAAGAGGACAGCACCATGACACAGAAGGCCAGCGAGGTGAGAGCCATGCGTGAGTGGCAGGGACATGGCTACAAAAGAAACTGCTGCAAAAACTGCCCAATTAAGGAGCTCAAATGCGTTATCCCCTCTTGGGAGGAAAGGCAGAGAAAACAACCAAGGTCATGCCCAGCTTATTACAAATGCTGGGCACATACAGTGATCTGCACTGTGCACCATGATAACCTGTTGTAAGTAGAACACCTGGCAAGGGGACAAGCTGCATTCATTTCATATTAGTTAGAAGTCCATCCAGATCTGAATTTCTGCCAAGTTTAGGAGGTTGCCAGGGCTGGGATTTCAGTTCCAGCCCACTTTTATCAGTTGAAACAAAAAGAAAACGAAACATGGCTGCTTGGAGGAAAGCACTTCTTAGAGGAAAGCACTTCCAAGGAAATACAGATTTGTGGCTTATCTGTGCACAGTCCAGTGGTTTAGCTAACCAACACAAAGCTAAGCTGATATAAACAGCTTTGAAGCAAGCAGATTTTTCTTATAATTTGTACAAGACAAACTCATTCCCATAGTTACTTTTACTGGAACCCAAGCTACCCTAATTTCTCTCCTCCAGTATCCTTACCTCCTCCTCCAGTTTCACCACCTTGGCCTGAGCATTGTTCAAGGCCTGGTCTCGGATCTCAATGTGTCTTCGTTGGTCCTCATTGGTGGATCGTGCAGCAGCCAGTTCTATTTCCAGTTTCTCTTTTTCCCGCTGTGTTTCCTTGTCTATCAAAACAAAGTGAGAATTATCAATCAATAGCACTCATCTCTACCCAGCTTTCAGGAGATTTTCACTCCCGAGGTGAAGGAAAGATTGTACTGGAACTTCTCACAGGAGAGAGAATGCAAATCGAGTGTTGGAGAAGGAGCAGGGGGAAGTACATGGCTTTGAAGGAAGAGAAGGACTTGTAACCCTGAAAAACAAGCATGGTACCTTCAAGTAACAATGCGCCACAACGCTAGTGAGAAGGAATTGAAGGTGCATCACTCAGTACAGTTAGGCAATTTGCTCTGATTATGCAGATGGTTAGTGAAACTTGGCACCTCTTTACCTCTGAGCTTTCAGCAGTGGAAAACAAACTTGGTAATTTTAATATCCCAGTCTGGGGAGAAGAGATGGCAGACTTCTGTGCCTGAAAAACTCGTACTCCTTTTTTTCTGTACTGATCAGGAAGGAAAGCTGTTCTGCCTGGGCCAGCTGTCCTTCTTCTCAAAGTAACACTCTGTTGTCCCACTTTGCTGACAGTACCATCAGAGGAATCGGAAAACAAGTGAGCAATAAGAATTCCTCAGTCTTCCTCTACTGTCCTTAAAAACAATCCCCTGGGCCAGAACTGAGGCATATATATATATATATATACACATGTATCTGTTCTGTCACTGCTCAAAGCAAATCTGCAGTTCAAGAAAGCCTTTTTCCCAGCACTGAAAGTCCATGTCTGATGCTTTAAAGCCACCCCAGGCACAGCAGCCAGTCTTTTTCTGCTGCTCTCCAGAAAGAAATGGACATAGTGGGAGCAGCTCACTCTCCGTTTCAGGAACAGGGCAACTGCCTTCAAAAAACATAAACAGGATAAAATAATTGGGGACTGGAGAAATTATCGCACAGGGGTGTAAAGCAAAGCCACAACACAGAGCTGATGTCCCCTGTATATGTTGTCATTCCCAGCTCAAGCCAACCAGCTACAATGATAACATTAGCACACTTGCTGGATACATAACCACAGAATACTCCCTGGAGTGATCTACACCCAGCACTGATGACACCAGAGAAACTGCATTCCAGAAACCAATATCCCACGACAAAGGAATGAGGACAAGGAGTGGAAGGCTTGAAAAACAGGAACGAGATCCTGGGTGTCAGTACAGACTGCATATGGAGTAGTACACAGGCCCGTTTGTGCAAGCATGTGCATAACTATATTTACAGGACCACAATTATTTCCTTTCTTCTGCCAGCAGAGAGTCAGGAGCAAAGCTTTAGCAACACGGAGTAGCTAAAGATTCCCTTCTGCTAGGGAATCAACGCAGCCCACACACAGGTTGCAAAACAAACCTGTCCACCAACAGCACCCAGAACTCTGCAGGTTTGCTCTGCAGAGTGACATAAGACACAAGGACAAATGTCACCACCTACCTATTCTTCTCCCCATCTCTCCCATCTCAGTATTTCTCCTCCACCCAGGAAATAAGTTACTGACAGTGTCAGCACGTTAAAATGTGTTGCAGAAAATGGGCAGAGATGAGACAGGGTGGCATTATGCCAGCAGGTATCAATCAGTGCCAGCAGCCTATTTGTTAATCTGTAAGTGCTTGCAGCAAGGCTTTTGGAGGTTTTGTTCCAGCCTTTTCCCCAAATGAGTACTGCTTCACTTTACAAGTGCCTACAGCACCCCTTGAAATGCTGGGAATGACGAAATGTAGCACTATGGTTCATCCAAAAGGAGAAACTGAACATGAGGCTTCACAGCTTTGACCTTCCCTCCTCTCTGGGTGAACCTATAAACCTCAAAGTCCACCCAACCAGTTTGAATGCAAGACTAACTCACAGACTTTCCACTACCACCAGGAGTTTTGAATTCACACCCTGACAGCCATCTGCTTGTAATGTAAGCCACAAGGAATAAGGTAAAGACAACAGAAAGGAGGGATACCAGCATTTGTCAGAGCAGAAGCAGTGTCTGTTACACCACAGAAAAATCTCCATTTTGCAATTTTAATGCATTACCTTTTTATATAACAATTGGAGAAAAGTGAGCATTGTCAGAAGGGTGGAGTATGCAATGGGATGACAGGAAGGTTGGCTCACTGCCATCAGCCTCAAGACATTTCAGTACAAAGGAAAAGCAGCATTTTACATCCGTCATTTTAGTTTGCCGTGTGATAAATCCAGTGCTGTGGACAGAACTCATGACCCTTACCCAGCCCAGCACACTGCAGGCAGCACTCATCCCGTTCTGCTGAACTGGATAGGGCAGTGACAAATTAAAGAGGAGAGAGATAGCAGACCTACCAGGTTCCAGTTCCACTGGCCTTAACTCATGACCCTTGTCAGCCTGGAAAGGTTTAATTCCGAAGCTTTCAAGGGATGAAATAAGAGGACAAAATATCCCATATGGGGTAAACACTAAGTTTACAGTTTAACCGCAAACTACTTTTGCTTCAAAATCTCTAATAAATGCCACAGATGGACTTTAGATAATGACAGATAAGGAATTCTTGAATCCGTCCTCCTTTCTCCACTGCCAGTTTTGAACTGTCACTGCCCTGATTTCTGTCCTGGTAGAAAACCATCAGAGCTGAACTACGCTAACCTGCTGCATTGTTTTCCTTCCCAGGATGACTGGAGCATTTCTACCAACCCACAATGATTGTGTAACTCACTTTGTGCAAAGAGTTGAGAGATGGTTTTCCGATTGTCTTCAGACCCCTCGAATTCCTTCTCTGCAAGCTGCTTGTTGGCTGTCTCCATACGTTCTGCAAAATTTTGCAATAAAAGGAACACTAAATAATTAAAAACTTTCAAGCATTAAGTCACGTCTGCTCGGGACGTTTCTAAGCAAACTAGGGAATGGATCTCCTAATTCTACACAGCTGAAAGTAAAAAGCTTATCAGAAGCTGGCACTCCCTTTTGAAATGGTTCTAATTATGTCCTTGAGAAAATATTCTCAGTGAGACAAAACAGGTTAAATAAAGTTCCAAAGAAATTACTTTAAATAATTATAACACATAAGAAGTTTATTTTTTCAATTTTTACAAATATTAAGGCCGCTTATTACTTCCACCCAAATAAATTTCATCACGCAATTAAAAGATTCCCTCATAACTCTCCACTAAATCTCAATAGTTAGAAGATTAAGTTAAATCACTGCTGTCCATTTCCCTGACTTCAGGGAAAAGTGTAAAACCCTAAGGACAGCCTGACAGTTCGGCTGCTGCAGGCTGTTAGAAATTTATATCAGTCTATAAAAATAAAAATTAAATGTTTATGCTGTGTTTTATTATGAAAAAGATTATTTAATGCAGGCCTTTGTGTGCTGTCCTTGATAGCATTGGACACTGTATGGCCTTACTTCTTGGATGCAAAACAATTTCTGGGAATACAGTCTTAGTAAGAAACATGGGGCAGTGAGAGCAGATGATATGTAGGACAATCAGAAGGCTTTCATTAAAAAATTAAACTTACAGATTAAAAGACTGATGGTGCACCTTGAAACATCTCAATTTGCAGATGTTTTTCACCTTTCAAACTAGTGCTTAAACTTTGACCTATGCTAAGGTCAAATACCATTCAACATCACTCTCCACTCCCAGCCATCATACTGCCTCAGCTGCTTTGCAAGAACCAGACGCTAATGACATCTCACTCTGGAAAAGGAAGGGAGATCCAAAAAACCAGATGCCTACAGTGATAAGGAATGACAAGACCTTCAGGAAGAACAGACAGTCTGCAGTTTGTATGTCAGTGCAAAAGGGTCACTGGACAGGAAATAAAGTGAACATGCCTGGTGTGGGATTAGGCCGTCAGCAAAACATCTTTCCATTTGTATAAACTGAACAAATTGTACAAATTGTGTCTAGGATATAAGACAAGACAGAATTCCAGGCTTGCATCTGGTTTATGGTATTTGGCTTATCACATGTTTCTTCTCAATGAGAAACAGGCTGGAAATGAGAGACTACAGCACTCTCTTAAACCTGTCTTTTCCATACTCCCAGCAAGCACTTAAGATCTCAGAGTACTGAATATACTTGAGTATCTTGTCATATTCTAATTGTGTCAGACACAGTGAATTCTGCAGCAAAACACTGTCCTGCCAAGTAAGTACAACAATAAAGAAACAACCCAGCACAAAAGAAAAGAACTTTTACTTCATTCACCTCTTAGATCCCTGTTAAAATCATGAAGTCTACGAATTTCTCCTTCCAGCTTGTTTCTCATGGCCTTTTCCAGGGCATCTCGCTTAGAAGATGATTTCTCCAGGTTTTTGTACGCCTCTGAAACTTGCTGAATTTCTGTTTCCAGCTGCAGTGGAAGGGAAAATGAGCACTTACTATTTTATCACTAACAATTCTTTTCTTTCAGTCTCAGAAAGGAGATCACTTTCTCTCAAGTTTCCTTTATTGAAAGAAACATATACCCATGTATTAAGTAAACCGGCAGAGTCTCAGGTTTGTGACGGATCCTTCTGGACAAAGAATACCAATGTTGAAACGAAGATCTGGACTCTCCTTCCAGACTCTAGCTCTGTTTCCCCAAGATGATCAGAGCATAGATACAGCAAACTGAAGAAGTGCAAATGTCATTTATTTTTTTTTTCTAAGACGGGGGCAGGTTGGCACTGCTGCTAGTTTTAGGCAAAAAGCATTTATGTAAGTAGCTAATGCAATATCAAGTAAGTAAAATAAAACAAGAAAGGCAGACAAAAGTATGCTAAAAAAATTGCTAATGGCAGATCTTGCATTACTGATGAACTGTACAGATCCATAATTGTTATGGTCCAAAATTCACAGTAAAATCTCCCGATGTTCTGTGTTTACACTTCTCAACTTAGTTGTGCTTCTAAATATTCCATTTATTAACTGGGGGGAGGGAAACATTTGCAGTAAAATATGCTGTATCCTTTCTTCTAGCCTTCAGTGTAAAGCTTCTCTGATCATCCAGAGGAGGAGATTCACTTCTAACTCTCCTTACTAGGCACGTCTTGCATTGCTATGGACGTACGGATCTACATAATAGCAAATCCCATCAACAGTGCCTACAGCAAGTAATCAACAGGGAGGTGGAGGGAAGTGCATTTTTATCCTTCTTTCATTATCAGGAAGCTGTCAAACATTTCTCTAAAGCATTTCCTGGCCAGGAGCCTTCCAAAAAAAATACAACAAATGAACATATGTCCCTGGAAAGAGGTAACACAGAAAATAAATGAGTGTGGAAACCACACTGGTCACCTGAACTCTAACAAGTGTTTTTAGAGGCCACGCATTTTTATGGCCCTGGAGACTGCTCAGTGCAAAGAGCACAGCAAGGTCTGCAAAGTCCTAAATTGCAAGTAGCATCAGCCTTTCCACAGCTGCAAGGCAAAAGGAAAGCTGACCTGCTGCACAGCTGTAGGTCCCTGGTCATCAAGAAGTTATTTCTATGAGGCTACAATCAAAATACCTCTACACATGCACGTTAATGATAGGTCTCACTGGGATATTTTTTTAAAACATTTTAGCATCACTTATGCTACTTGTTTCAAACAAAGCCAGAGACTGATCCCAAACAAAATACTAAGTTTTCGTGGAAGTTCTGTGGTAGTGAGAGAGTGGCAAAAGAAGTGTTAGTTTCAGGCCTGCAGTCCAAATGTCTTTAATGTAGCCATAGTAGCAGTACTTGCCTTGCACACTGTCCTGCCAACCAGTTTTGTAGCAACGTCCCCTATTGCTTACTTGGGTGACTGTGGTCTCATGTCATTCTGAAAAGGCCTTTCCTGCAGCCTCCAACGTCATTTAGACTGATGGGAAAATGAAGCCTGCTGCTATCCTGGACTTAAGAATACTAATTTTAATTTAACCAAGCCAGCCAAGCAGTCAGCCTCTTCAAGACAGCTGATGAGGATGCTCTTTTGAGCATGGTCAATAAACTGTCAGAATAAAACTGAAGGCTTTGATTCTATCTTCTGACAAAGTTAAGCTGCTGCCCAAAGGGACAAGATACAGACTAATCAATCTGCACATAAACGACTCTAAAGTAGATAATTGGTCCCTTAAGCAAGGAATGTAACAGTTGCAGATTAGATGATTCAATTATGGATGATACTAGACAGAGGAGAGTGCCTGACATCCAAAAATACCCACCTTCTGCAGCCGGGCTACTTTCTCATAGCACCCATCCAGCTCCTGTCGTAGAGACCGGTTCTCTTCTGACAGGATTTCCACCATCTGCTGGGCCCTGGAAACTATGGCAAAAGGATCTACTTGCATCTGCTGATATGGGGAAGGTATCTGCTGAGCTCGGGACATTACTGAATAGGAATCGCCTTGCTGCTGCTGCGGGCCTAGGAAGGGCTGGCATAGTCGGTACAAATCTCCCTGATGGACTTGGTTTGATAAGAATGGCTGCTGGGTCCGTGGCAGAATGCCAGGATCTCCCTGGCTTGGAGTCAGAGGTTGCTGATGCTGGGATGGGGACAGCCTGGATGGTGGCGGAGACTGAAGCAAAGTCAAAGATCCCAGGGATGTCAAGGAAGAAGTTGGGCTGTGGTGGTGAGGTGGTCTCTGTTGTAACTGCAGCTGCACATCTGGGTTCTGCCTGGAAAACAGAGAGCAGAAGCTCCATCAAAGTCATGCAGAAGATGGTGCACAAACCCAGTGACAAGGCATGGAATGACCCGTGTAGCTCCTAATCACAGGTCTTCCCACATAAAAGAGTCATGTGAAGTTTTCTTCATTTTTGTAAGTTTATTTCTGAAAAATGCTTAAAAGTCAAAACATTATTAGAAAATACTAAGTGTACCAGGTTCTTCCCTCTTGAGTCTATTTTGTATATAAACGCTAAGAGAAACTGCATCAACAGCTACTGACCAAAATAATTTTTGTAACTTCTCCACACTTTGTGGATAAAACGGCTAAACTGAGGTCTGTTAGGAATGGGCTCATTTGTTCTGTCCTGAAATGCACTATCTCTCATAGAGAAAACAATTAATTTTCTCTTGCAGTTCAGGATACAGAGTTAAAGGGACTGGCTAAGCTCTATGCCAGCACTGCTGATTCGACCTTTCTGAAATATCAACCAACAAGCTGCAGACTAGTCAAGTCATCTGAAAACCAGCCTAAGAGTCAGCAGCAGCCTTCTGATTCAGAACGACCCTCAGTCCTATGCAGTAGGTACGTTTACTGCTCCTAACAATAACCTCTATAGTACATCAAAGACAGATCTAGCAATCTATAACACGCTTGATTCTATCATAAAACTAACTCCAAGTGGCACCAGCTCACATTTCCCAGGAGCTGGAGATCTCCAGCTCAACTTCTGCTACACTGGCCAAGTAAGAAATCTCTCTTAGAAGTTTGTGTGGATTTATCACGCTTGGATGACTTCAGGAGGCAGGTTTTGCTTCCTCCTCTGAAGACATTCAACCTTTAAATTCTCTGGATGTTCTTTAACAGTTGAAGTTATTCCCTCTCCGTGCTGCAGCCAGTCCCTTCTTAAGCACAGACCGCAGACCCCCATCTGGCAGTTCTGAAACACTCCTGTTCTTCTGATAAAATTTTCCACCTTTGGGACGCAGTTCAACCCTGCAGCTGGAAAAGCACATACTGTTGTTCTACCTGGCCACAGCTGCTACAGAATACCCCCATGGTTGCCTGCATTTAGAAGGACCCTATGTGCCTGCTTGATACCGGGTGTACAAGACAGCCCGCAGCATAGCTCTCCCACCACACCAGGAGCCTTAGTGGCATATCAACTGACAACAGTAAGCATGAAGCTGAACTGGGAACTAAAGGGTTACACAACGGGCTTCTCAGCGATGTGCAAACATTCGGCATCATCCTTCCTGTTCTCTGCAGAAAAAACTCATCAACTCTTCATACCCATCCAAAGAGGAAACGTCTGCATTACTCACATCTGGCTGGCAGCGCGTGTAGGAGTTTGTACGTTCTCAGCCCAGCACGGGGTTCGCTATTTCAATATCATGCATCTTATGTCTCATTTTCTCTGCTTTCCAGCAGAGAAGGTGCATAGAACCTCCAAGCTCATGTTCAAATTCCTTAACAGGGAAATAAATCTAGTCTTTGACACTTAGAAAAAAGCAAATAATGACTGCTCTAGTTACTGTTTCTCTCTCTCTCACACTCAGGTGACAGTGGTCCCTGCCAGAAACATCATTTCAGGAGCTGTATTTCCCCAGAAAAGATCATATGCAGCATGAGGATCTCAGGGGTCATGAAGAAGAAAGATGTCCAATTAATTTCCTCAGGAATGTTCAGTTTAGTGGCAGCAATTTGATTCTTTCCCTCCTGGGATGTCAGCTCTACTTATCGTTGCATTTATTTCATTACCTTTATTTGTCAGTTCTCATAATGAAGAATGAGGCAAAACCGTCACATGCAACGTTCAAGGTCATCTGGTTTGTCTCAGGTGGTTTCCAGCTCCTTTCTTAGCTCACCCAGTTATGTGCAGAGTTAAAACTTTGCCTCTTCAGAAAACACTCGCCTCCTTGAGTTTATTATTTACTTAACAGCATGCACCTCTGTTTTTATGTTATAATCAATTAGGGAATAAGCTTGCTGTGACATTTAATCCGTGATGACCTACAGAGGTTAGATCACAAGAGATACATTGCCAGTCTGCCTGATGGATGGAAAAAAACACCTTTCTAATTTTGAACCTACAAAATACTCTCTTCCAGTCTGAAAACAACCTGAAGCAGTTACTCACAAAGACTGACTACACTGATCACAGTGTGTTAATACTACAAGCCTAATGAGGCCTATTTAGATCCCAGTGTTAACAATTTGAGCTATTTGACTAAAAGCATCTTATTCTGCCATCAGAGACGCATGGGCAGAATCTTGCCATTTCTGCACTAATAAAAGGAACACAAAGATGACCAAAGAATAACAGCAGCAGCAGCAGCAGCTAAATTCTGAAGGGACAACCTTTGTACTGACGTGTGGTAATGACTTTTTTTTTTTAAATTAAATCTATTGTAAAGAACAACTCTAGGAAATTGTGGCTGAGTATTTCTAAACAAGATACATTTCCAAGATTTCCAGCATTTTGGCACTCACAGCTGAAGCATCTTATAATCTTGAAATTATACCAATCTTGTGGGTTCAAGCTAAGATATGAAAGCTCTATGAGAGCCTCTAATTCTGTTGCATTACCAACAGCATTAGAGCTTCCAAAATGTCACACCTGCATTTATATTCCTGGCAAAATGAGACAATGCAACTGGGGTAATACATCTTATCTTTAAAAAAAAAAATAAAAATCCTAGTAACCTCACTGTGACAACTAGACCTTTTAAGATCTTGTATGCAAACTTTTATATACATGTTCAAAGACCCTTTTAGCATCCCCACTGCTTTCAATTTTTTCTTATAAAATATTTCTATATATTTCTTGAGTTCAAAATACCTGGCTCTGAGATTAAAATGAGATTTAATTGAGAACTGCAGAATTATTTCTCTGGTAAATCAGTTTTGGATTGAGAGATTCAGAAAGCTAAATTAATACAACCGGACTTTTCAAGACTTTTAAGCCAGACTGCAAAATTTTAAGGAACAATTCACTATTGGGGTCACCTAACAGAATTGCCGAAAGAATAGTAGTAGAAACTCCCCTCCATGAGAGAATCAGTCCTTGGGTAAACCTGCAGTAGTAATCAGAATTGTATCTGAACTAACCACTTCTTGCAAAAATGCAGGAAGTCTCTCAAAATACACGGAGAACAAAATTACACAATCTCCTTCCATTTGCCTCAGTGTCATAAAGACCTGAAAACCCCAAACACAGGAAAAAACCTCAGAGCAATAATTCCCACAAGTGTTTAAGTTTGAAAGCATAACTTTAAGGGCCACTTCACTCTGGAGACTGTATCATGCAAGAATCTCTGCTTCCCTTACAGTCCCTGGCACGTATCAGAGAAACACACCACGCGGGCCAAATACAAACCTGGATTTATGGTTCTGCAACTACAAGGGTCACATTAGCTTTTAAGTCATGAAGACAGAGATATGGAGTAAGGGCAGCTCTGCAAGCAACCCCAGCCATCAGGAGTCCTGGGGCTGCCAGGATTGCAAACATCAAGTCACGCAGAAGATCTGCGGGTAGAGCAACAAAGTGGGGAGGGCAGAAGAATGAAGAGATCAGGAAAGGTCTCTGGCTCGTTAACATTTTTTTCTGCCTTCCCAGCTTCTCCTGCCTGTTTCATGTTCAAGAAGCTACAGCTCCCCTTCTCTTGCACAGCCCTCCTGCACAAACTGGGAAATGCTGATTGCGGGAGGGAGCAGACTCCGCTTGATTAGACAGCTGAAACCAAACCCGTGCATTTTTGTTCTGCTTCCTAGTCATACCTGATTATCCCCCACTTTGATACTGCCCAGGGGAACGCACTGCGCAGAAGTGATTTACTAATTATGGGACAAATTCTGCAGACCTCCTTCTCAAAAAGTTTCTGTGAAGTCAAAGGGATTAATCACCACAGCAGGAGCTCAGTCATTTGGGCTCCGAACAGAGGATGGCGCTTGAATCAGAGAGACAGCCAGCTTCCTCTGCCCTCAAAACTCTACCAACACCAGCCCTGTCTCTCGCTGTTCTGCGCTGCCACAGGAGACCTTGCAACCCCGCAGGACACTAGTCTTCTCCTCTTAGACCTGAAGGTTTGTTTTCATTGCCAGAGCTAAAGCACAGTTGAGGTATTAGGAAGAGAATAGGATTTTGGAGCTTCACATGCCGCCAGCCCTCTTCTGAACTTTCTTTAAAATTTCTAAATAACAGCACAGATGCCTCCGGCATGCCCGGTATTTACATTAAACCGACATCATTAGGAACATATACGTGTTCCCAAAGTTACACCGCCCAGGAGCAGGTGAGGCAAACTGTTTGCAGACTGGTTTAAACTTACCACACAGCCCATTCCTTTCCCAGACTGGGGAGGGTGAAGCATGAGAATGCTGTGAATTCCCCAATGTTTATCTTGCTCAACGAGTTTTATTTAACCACATCGTTAGGTCACCCTCAAATTCCCCCGAACAATGAGGGGAAAAACCCGCAGAAAAGGGTGTGGCTTCACGAGCAGAAAGAAGGGGCTTTGTTTCCTTGACGCACAGTTCAAAAAATGCACACATTTACCGATCCAAATTAATCCCGATAAACAGAGCTGCAGCGCAGGAAAACTGGAGTCTCTGAAAATACTTTATCGCTCCAGGGAAGCTGCAAAGACACTCGTTAGCACTGCCTGGTGCAGGGTAAATGCACTCCCGAAAGCTGTATGCCTTTAAAACCCTCACACCATTACCCAGCTGCACCTTTAGTAACACAGAAGGTTTCTTGTCTAAATGACAGTTTCTCTTAAAGTGTGTGGGAGAGGGAGGGGAATAGAGGACTCGCTCCCTTCCTTTGCTACGCTGCTCTGTAATTTATGGATTAGTCTTGCAATTGTTCTACTGCTTCAGCATTTGCTTGCAAAGGAAACCTCTCCTCTGTGCAGCTATTTAGGTTAAAAAGTAACCTCATTAGATTCCCAATGCTTTGAAGACAAATTTCAGTTGCTTCCCCTACTGGAAACCTTGCCAGCTGAACCTTTCTCCTCCCCCCCCCCCTCC